CAAACTTTTAGTTAGATAAGAAAAAAAGAAGACTCAATAAAATTCAAAGTACAAGAGAAGACATTATACCCGATGCCACAGAAACAAAAATAATCATCAGACTACTATGCCCAATTATGGGACAATAAATTGAATAACCTAGAAAGAAGAAATTTCTAGAAACATATAACCTACTAAGACTGAGTCATGAAGAAATATAAAATTTGGACAGACCTATAACTAATAAGGAGATTGAACCAGTAATCGAAATCTTTACAACAAAGAAAAGTCCAGGACCAGATGGCTTCACTGGTGAATTCTACCAAACATTTAAGAATATTTAATTCCAATTCTTCTTAAACTCTTCTAAAAAATTAAAGAGGAGAAAACACTTTCTAACTAATTCTTTGAGGCCTCATGCTAAAGCAAGGTAAATTCTATAAGCAAATATCCCTGATGAACATAGATGTAAAAATCCTCAACAAAATACTAGCAGTTCAAATTCATCTCTACATTTAAGGGATCATATACCATGACCAAGTGGCATTTATCTCTGGAATGCAAGGATGGTTCCATATATAAAAATCAACTAAAGTGATACACCACATCAACAGAATAAAGGGTAACAGTTACACAATAATTTCAATAGATACAGCAAAAGGATTTGACAAAATTCAATATCTTTTATGATGAAAACTCTCAAACTAGGAACAGAAGGCAATTACCTCAACATAATAAAGATCATATACGAGAATCCCATAGCTAACATCATACTCAGTAGTGAAAAACTGAAAGCTGTTCCTCTGCTATCAGGAAGTATGCTGAATACTTTTGTTCAACATAGTCCTAGCCAGAGCAATTAGGTAACAAAAAAATAAAAAGTGCCTAAACTGAATAGAGTAAAATAATCTGTATCTGCAGAGAACATGATCTTATATGTAAAACACTCTAAAGACACCACAAAAACTTATTTGTATAATCTATAATTTTACTGAATAAGTGAATTCAGTAAAATTATAGATTATAAAATCAACATATGAAAATCAGTTGTGTTTCTATATACTAGCAATAAACTACCTGAAGAGGAAATAAAACAATTTCATTTACAATATCATCAAAAACTATAAAATGCTTAGGAATAAACTTAAGTAGAAGATATGTACTCTGGAAAACAATGATGAACAAAACTTTAAAAGATGCCAGCAAATGGGCACACATCCCATGTTTATGAGTTGGAAGACTTAATATTGGTAAAATACCCATACACCAAAGCAATCTACAAATTTGATGCAATCTCTATCAAAATCTCAATGGCATTTTTTAATAGAAATAACAAAGCGGCCAGGCACAGTGGCTCACACCTGTTATCCCAGCACTTTAGGAGGCCAAGGTGGGTGGATCACGAGGTCAGGAGTTGAAGACTATCCTGGCCAATATGGTGAAACCCTGTCTCTACTAAAAATACAAAAATTAGCCAGGTGTGGCGGTGCATGCCTGTAATCCCAGCTACTCAGGAGACTGAGGCAGGAGAATCACTTGAACCAGTAGGCAGAGGTTTCAGTGAGTCGAGATCATGCCCCTGCACTCCAGCCTGGGAAATAGAACGAGACTCCATCTCAAAAAAAAAAAAAAAAAAAAGAGAAATAGCAAAGCAACCCTGAAGTATATATGGAACCACAAAGGAGCTCAAATAGCCAAAACAATCTTGAGAATAACAAAGTAGGAGCATCATACTTCCTGATTTCAAATACACTGCAATGCTATGGTAATTCAAGAAGTATGGTACTGTCATAAGAGAAATGAATCCATATGGCCAACTTATTTTTGACAGATTGGAGTACCAAGAATACACAATGAGGAAAGAATACTTTCTTCAACAAATGCTATTGGGAAAACTAAGTATCTACATACAAAATAATGAAATTGAACATTGACACCATACACAATAATTAATTCAAAATGTATTAAATAGTTAAATATAAGACCTGAAGCTGTAAAACTCCTAGAAGAAAACGCAGGGGAAAAGCTTCATAAAATTAGTCTTAGCAGTGATTTCATGGATATGATGATAAAAGTCTAGGCAACAAGAGCAGTAACAAGTGAGATGTCATCAAACTAAAAAGCCTCTGCACAGCAAAAGAAACAATCAACAGAGTAAACACACAACCTACCAAAATGGGAGAAAATATGTGTGAATTATATATCTGATAAAGGAGTAAATAACTAAAATGTATAAGGAACTCTTATAACTGAATAGTAAAACTAAACAAAAAAGACAACCTAATTTTTAAAATAGACAAAGAACTTGAATAGATATTTCTCCAGAGCAGCAGCAGCAATAGCCAACAAGTATATGAAAAAATGCTCAGCATCATTAATCATCAGGAATATGCAAATCAAAACCACGATATCACCTCACACTTGTTAAGATGGCTATTATCAAAAAACAAAAGATAACAAATGTTGGCAAGGGTTTGGATAAATTAGAACTCTTGTACACTGTTGGTGGGAATGTAAAATGACACAGCAGCTATGGAAACAGTATGGAGGTGTCTCTAAAAATTAAAAACAGAATGACCATGTGGTCCAGCAATCCCTCTTATGAATATCCAAAATAATTAAAATCAGGATCTCAAAGAGATACTAGCATTCCCTTAATCACCTCAGCATTATTCACAGTAGCCAAGATGTGGGAAAATACTTAAATGTTCATTGATAATGAATGGATAGAAAAATGTAGTGTATAAATACAATGGAATATTATTCAGCCGTAGAGAGAAATCCTGCAATTTGTGACAACATGGATGAACCTTGAGGACATTATGTTAAATGAAATAAGCCAGTCACAGAAGGCCAAATACTTCACATTTCCACTCATATAAGTTATCTAAAATAGTCAAACTCATAGAAGCAGAGAGTAGGATGATGTTTGACAGGATCTCGCAGGATGGGAAAATTGGGAGCTCCTATCAATGGGTATTAAGTTTCACTTGCACATATAAGAGTGAGTTCTAGAGAGCTGCTGTAGAACACTGTGCCTTTAATTAACAACACTGGATTGTATATGTGAAGGTTTGAGTGTAGCTCTCATGTGAAGTGTTCTAACAATAAAGAAGAGGAATTTTAAAAATTAAAATGTTTAAACTTCTAAAATTAAAAAATCTTGAAACAAGAAAATTAAATAGGAAAAAGAATCAAGGAGAAATAGGAAGAAGGAGAAAATATTTTTTAAAATCTTCCTTGAGATAAGAAAATACATATTTTATCCATTAAATAAGAATAGACTGTTATAAAAAAAAAAGGCTATTCAAAGAACAATGAAATGCAATAGCAGAGTGGAAAACTCAGTAAAAGGATTAAAATATTAAGTTGAGATTTACTAGAAAAAAAAACATAAGAAAAGGGGGAAAAATGAGAAAATAAAAAACATTAAAATTTAGAGGAAAAACGATAAGATAGAAGAACAGTATATGAAATCCAACATCAAATAATAGGAGCTCCCTGAAAAGATAATGGAAAAAAGGAATAAAATTATCAAAGAAATAATTCAATAACATTTTTCAAGCTATAAATTATGAGTTTCCAGGTTAAGAGGACCATAGTGTGCCTAGTGCAGCACATGAAAAACACCAAGGCACAGCATTATGAAATTCTAGAACACCAGGAAGTGGAATAAATGAAATGGACTTATGCAGTTTGGTAGCATTTGAGACTAAATAGATTTAAAAATATATAGAGACTAGGAGTAGTGGCACACGCTTGTAATTGCAGCACTTTGGAAGGCTGAGGCAGGTGGATCACTTGAGGTCAGGAGTTCAAGACAAGTCTGGCCAACATGGTGAAACTCTTGCCTCTACAAAATACAAAAATTAGTCTGGCACGGTGGTGGGTGCCTGTAATCCCAGTTATTCGGGAGTCTGAGGCAGGCGAATCACTTGAACCCAGGAGGCAGAGGTTGCAGTGAGCTAAGATCATACCACCACACTCTAGTCTGGGCGAGATAGCAAGACTCTATCTCAAAAAAGCTTGTGTGTGTGGTGTGCGTGTGTGTGTGTGTGTGTGTGTGTGTGTGTGTGTGTGTGTGTAAAACTAAACAAATGAGGAAAGGGACTTGTATCGACTCCAGGAAAAACAAAAGGTGGTCTTAATATACCACCAGAGTAAACAGCATTTTTATAACATTTTATCATTATAATGTCTACATGAATATTAATCTAACTTAATATGTGATATAACAATATGGGGACAATGGGAGAGGTAGGAAAGGTGGGGATAGCCTTATTCTTCCATAGTGGGAAGTTACTGGAAAGCTTAAAACTGATATTAAGTAATAGCAGTTTATGTACAGTTGTCCCTTGGTATCCATAGGGGTGGGTTGCAAGACTTCCCTTGAATACCAAAATCTGTGGATGCTGAAGTCCCTGATATAAAATGCCTTGGTATTTGCATGTAACCTATGCACATCCTCCTATATACCTTAAATCATCTTTAGATTAATTATGATATTTAATACAATGTAAATGCTATATAAACAGTTGTTAGACTATATTGTCTAGAGAATAATGACAAGAAAAAAAAAGTCTGTATATGTTGAGTATGGATGCAATTTTTTTCCTGAATATTTTCAGTCCATGGTTGGTTGAATCCACAAATGTGGAACTTATAGATACAAAGGGTTGATTGTGTGTTATTTAGTGATGTTATTTTTAATGGCACATAGGCATAACATATATAAAATATAACCGGCAGCTCACATGTGTGCTACCTGTCTCTTAGATCAATAATCCTATAGTACAAAAGCCTAGAAAGGAAGACAGGGTAAGAGAACCAGAATGGAACATAGACTATTACTACATTGATCCATAAGGATTATTTTTTTTCTGTCTCATCCAAAACCTTCTTCAATTATAATACCATCATTTGGTATGGGCTGGGGACCTAAGGTGAGGTAGGAGGTAACCCATCATTTGTATGTAGGCTGTTGTTCAAAGACTTACACTATTTCTTCTCTGCTGTTTTAGATTGGGAGTGTTCCAAATTAGAAGAACACATGCAGTGGAAAAATTCTACTCTTCTGGATACCAGTAAAGCAGTAGCAATAGAGAAGGCACCACAGTTTTCAAATGTCTCTGCAATTTTAAGTGAGTCACACATACAGGAGAACATTTATCTATGTTGGAAAAGCAAAGTATTTTTTCTCTTGAATGATTTCTAAGCTAAGTTTATCAGTTGGATTGCCTTTGGCTACAGATAATATCTAATAATAGTATATGAGTTTACTTTTTTTTTTTTGAGGTGGAGTCTTGCATTGTCACCTGGGCTGGAATACAATGGCACGATCTTGGCTCACTGCAACCTCCACTTCCCAGATTCAAGCGATTCTCCTTTCCCAGCCTCCCAAGTAGCTGGGATTATAGTTGCCCATCACCACACCTGGCTAATTTTTGTATTTTTAGTAGAGACAGGTTTCACCATGTTGGCCAGGTTAGTCTCAAACTCCTGACCTCGTGATCCACCCACTTTGGCCTCCCAAAGTGCTGGGATTACAGGTGTGAGTCACTTTTTTTAATTAAAATAAATTTTAGCTTGGAGATCTTGCTATGTTGCCCAGGCTGGATTCGAACTCCTCAGCTAAAGTGATGCTCCTGGTTCAGCCTCCCTGCAGGCATGCCATTGCCCTGGGCTGGGTTTACTCTTTAAATAACTTTTCAAAATTTGAGATAGGGTCTCACTTTGTTGCCCAGGCTGGAGTGTAGTGGTACAGTCATAGTTCACTATGACCTCTAACTTCTAATCTCAAGTGATATTCCCAGTCTTAGCATCCCGAGTAGCTAGGACTATAGGCATGCACACCCACAATCAGCTAATTTATTTTTATTTATTTATTTTGAGACAGAGTCTTGCTCTGTCACTCAGGCTGGAGTGCAGTGGCGTGATTTTGGCTTACTGCAACCTCTGCCTCCCAGGTTCAAGCAATTCTTTTGCCTCATCCTCCCTGGTAGCTGGGATTACAGGCGCATGCCACTACACCCAGCTAATTTTTGCATTTTCAGTAGAGACGGGGTTTTTCACCATGTTGGCCAGGTTGGTCTTGAACTCCTGACCTGAGGTGATCCACCTGCCTTGGACTCCCAAAGTGCTGGGATTACAGGCATGAGCCACCGCACCTGGCCACAACCAGCTAATTTAGACAATTTTTTGTAGAGATGGAGTCTTGTTATGTTGCCTAGGCTGGTCTCAAACTCTTGGCCTCAAGCTGTTCTTCTATCTTGGCCTCCCAAAGTGCTGAGATTACAGACATAAGCCATTGCACCCAGCCTTTTATAACTTTTTATTTTAAACTATTTTTAGACTTTTAGTCTTCCTTTTTTTTTTTTTCTGTTACATGATCCTATCCTGAATCCCATGTCACATTTCATTGTTATTTCTCCCTAGTCTCCTGCAGTTTGTAATAGTTCCTCAGTCTTTCAGATTACTGATGAGTTATTTTGTAGAATGTCCGTTGGTTGGGATTTATCTACTAGATGTTTCCTCATGACAGGAATTAAGTTGTGGCCAGGAGCAGTGGCTCACACCTGTAATCCTAGCACTTTGGGAGACTGAGGTGGGAGGACTGCTTGAGGCCAGGAGTTCGAGACCAGCCTGGGCAACATAGTGAGACCCCTATCTCTACAAAAAATAAAAAATGAGCTAGATGTGGTGGTGCAAGCCTATAGTCCCAGCTACTCGGGAGGCTGAGGTGGGAGGATAAGAGGATCACTTGAGCCCAGGAGGTCAAGGCTACTGTGAGCCATGTTTGTACCACTGAATTCCTGCCTGGGTGACAGAATGAGAATCTTCTCCAAAAAAAAAGCAGGGTAGGGGGATGAAGTTATGGGGTTTTTGGTAAGAATACCATAGAAATGATGTTTTGCCTTTGCAGTGCCTCATATTATATCAAGGGGTTTGTGATTACTGGTGATGTTAAACTTCATCATTTGGTTAACCCAGTATCTGCTGAATTTCTCCAATTAAAAATCGCTGTTTTCTCTTTGTAATTTTTGAATATCTACAAAAAGATAGTTTGAGACTGTAAACTCTGTTTCTCCTAGGACTTTATTTCACTAATTTTAGCAGCCATCAGATGAGCCAGCTGACTTCAACCCATGTTACTATGGTGTCTGTCTAATGGTGTTTTTTTTAGTATACTCTTTCCTGCTATTTTTATTAATTGGAATCCTACTGTAAAAGAAGAACTTTCTCTTTTCTGCCATTTGTTTATTTATTTGGTTTCTTATTCACTGTATACTTGTGGATATTTATTCTATGGTTTGAAATCCAATACTTTCATCATTTATTTATTGAATTTATTTATTTATTTAATTCTAGTATATATATATAGAGTAGTTTCAGAAGTGTTAACTCAGGCCCCTGTAAGAAACACATTTAGTAAATAAATTACAGCATTTATGTACAGTTCTTTTTGTCTTTAGCATTACAGCATCCAGTCAAAATACTAATTTTCCAAAGTTATGTAAGTTCATTTTCTCCCCACTGCTCTTAGCATATGAGAAGTTATTCACTTGTAATATGTATAGTTAGACTTACTTATTATTGTTGGATTTACTTTTGCATTCACCTGTCCTGTTTGGTTTTGTTTATGTATTCAGGAATATGAAATATTACTGTGGTTTTAATAGTCATAGCTATATAAAAATGTATTCTCAGAAACTTATCACTTTCTCCTTCTTCCAGCTACCATTCTTCTCTTCTTTCTACCCCTTTCTCACCTACCCCCTGTGGGTAACTGGTCTTTTTAGTTTTTGGCTTATCCTTCCTGCTGCGTTTCTTTTGTACAAAAAAGGAGATATCTGTGTATTTCTTTATATCCTCCTCTTTGTTACATGAAGGGTAGCAAGCTGTATAGCTACTCTTTTTTCACTTTGATTTTTCCACTTAATAGTATGTAGTAGAAATCACTACACGTTGGTTTACACAGAGATCTTCCTCTTATTTTTTACAGCTGCACAGTACTCCACTGTGTGGATATACTTTTGTTTATTCAAAAATACCTATAAATTGGGTATTTAGATTTTCCCCCAATATTTTGCCACTATAAACAATACTTAATGAATAAACTTATGATATATATTTTCATGATATTGGTAGTGTGTCTTCAAGGCAGATTTCCAGAGGTAGAATAGCTGGGTCAAAAGGTAAATGTGTATATTGGTTTATTGGATATTGCCAAATTTTCCTCCAGAAGGATTATAACAGTTTGCATTCCCAACAGCAATGTGTCAAAGTGCTGGTCTCCCCATATCCTTACCCAAGAATATGTTGTCATTTAAAAAATTTTTTTGCTACTCTCATAGGTGAGAAATGGTATCTCTGTGCTATTTTAATTTGTACAGAGATGGTATCTCTGTGCTATTTTAATTATATGTTTAAACTCACAATAATATAATTTCCATAATTATACGTGAGTTTTAACATTTTTGATATGTTTAAGTGTCATTTTTATTTGAAGAATATTGGTCTTTTGTCTGTAACCTTTTGTTCATATGTTATGAATATTTTCTCCAAGTTTGTCAGTTGTCTTTTTGTCTATGGTATTTTTTGTCATGCAAAAATTTTTTATTTATATTAGGTTTATGTTTACCAGCCCAGAACTAGTGTAGCAACTCAATAATATCATCAAGATCATAGGCTTTTATGTCAACATACAACCAAGTGTGCTGGCTTGTTACCCCATATTTGCAAGGTGGTTGCTAAACCTCTAAGTGTCACAGCCATGTTTCCGGTAGAAAGAAAGAGAGGGGGCAGGAGTAGCCACACATATATCCTTTTGTTGGAAGAAGAAAAGCTTTCCCAGAAATTCCCAGCCGACCTCTACTTTGGTCTATTGGCCAGAACTGGGTCATGCATCTAGGGAGATTGAGAAACCTTGCTTTCCTATCCTCTATTGTGGTAGAAGGCAAGGAAAATGGAGAAGGGGAGTAGGAACGGATATTGTCTGCCTACCTGTTAGTGCCTGCCACTAAGAAAGGGGCATATTAGTCAAAGAACTAAACATTGAGTTAGAGGTCCTTTATTGGAAAGTTGATAGCTGTCTAGATGGCAATGTTTTTACAGTGTTTGAAGGCCTTGTCTTCTGTATCATGTTTAGTTTGTCATCTCCTTTGCTGGAATAAAGTGCTCAAAGAAGCAGCCTGTCTCTTTAGCAAATGTTTTGGTTAGGATCCTTGTCCCTTGCAAATGTCAAAAAATATAACAATATTGGTTAAAAAGGGAATTTGTTAGCACATGTACCTCAAAAATTCAGCAACAAATCAGGTAAATATATGCAACTTGATCCAGGGTTTCAAATGATACCAGTAGGACCCAATTCCTCTCTATCTCTCGGCTCTGGATCCCTCTATGTCAGTTATGCTCCCAGTCAAATCCCTTCATAGAGCAACTCTTGCTAGCTCTAGGGTTACATATCACAGCCTCAAATCCATTTGAAAAAGTGTTTCTCTTTCCCAAGTATTTGAACAGAAGTCCTGAACCTTATACATGGGCTTAATTAGTTTACATGCCTTTCCCTGAACCAGTCACTGTGTCCAGGGAGATACAGAGCTCTCACTGCATTGAGTTGTAGGCTATGCCTAAACCACCAGGAAAAACAAAACAAAGCAAAACAGGTGACTGTTACCAGCAAAAATAGAGTAGATGCTGGATGATAAGTGGCCACTGTAGCCTTCATGTTCTGAGAACCTCCCTTTTAGGAAATGCTTAAAGGCATCATTTACTTTGTCTCTGCTTAATTGGGGAGATTTTAAAATTCTATTCTAACATAAGCAAAGTGCCACAGCCACTAAAGATTTTAATTTCTTTAGACAACTATACTCATGGTTCTTTATATTCCTAGTAATATCCTAATGTACCTGAGGCATTCAAATGTGGGTTGGCAGAAATTCTCTTGACTAATCAATCTACTAGTATGTGTTTCTATATATTTGGTATTCAACTAGTATTTGACTATTAGTTTTGTAAAACTTTTTTTTCAGATGGAGTCTCAGTTTGTTGCCCAGGCCAGAGTACAGTGGTGTGATCTCAGCTCACTGCAGCCTCCACCTCCTGAGTTCAAGCAATTCTCATGCCTCAGCCTCCCAAATAGCTGGGATTACAGTTGCATGCTACCACACCTGGCTAATTGTACTTTTAGTAGAGACAGGGTTTCACCATGTTGGCCAGGCTGGTCTCAAACGCCTGACCTCAGGTGATCCACATGCCTCGGCCTCCCAAAGTGCGGGATTACAGGTGTGAGCCACCATGCCTGGCCTAGTTTCGTGATTTGACCAGTTATTTTTTTCTTATATAAAATGGGGATAATCCCAGCTACTCAGGAGGCTGAGGCAGGAGAATTGCCTGAACCCAGGAGGCGGAGGTTGCGGTGAGCCGAGATCGCGCCATTGCACTCCAGCCTGGGTAACAAGAGTGAAACTCCGTCCCCCCCCCCCAAAAAAAATGGGGATAATAAATTGATATATTTACATGACAAGATTGTTGTAAGAATCAAGTAAGATAATAGATGTAAAAAGACTTCAAAAATTATAAAGAACTATTCAAATACAAGGGAGAGATTCCTGTATCTCATAAAATTTTGCAACTTTTTTGCTTTGATATTTTGAAAATATTTTTACCCAGTTTTTAAGGGCAGACACAAAAAACAATATTAAAAAAGATATGAAAATAAACTATACTTGGGGGAAATACTCATTTTTACCTAATTTTTGCCTCTGGTTTGTCTTTGAATTATATTTCTTTTTCTTTTTTTTTTTTTACATTAAGTTCTGGGATACATGTGCAGATCTTGCAGGATTCTTACATAGGTATACACATGCCATGGAGGTTTGCTGCCTCTATTCCCTGGTCACCTACATTACATACTTCTCCTAATGTTATCCCTCCTCAATCTCCCCACCTCCTGCTATCCCTCCCCTAGCCCTCAATCCCCAGTGTGTGATATTCCCCTCCTGTGTCCATGTGTTCTCATTGTTCAACACCCACTTATGAGTGAGAACATGTGGTGTTTGGTTTTCTGTTCTTCTGTCAGTTTGCTGAGAATGATGGTTTCCAGCTTCATCCATGTCCCTACAAAGGACATGAACTCATCCTTTTTTATGGCTGCATAGTATTCTGTGGTGTGTATGTGCCATATTTTCTTTATCCAGTCTATCTTTGATGGGCATTTGGGTTGGTTCCAAGTTTTTGCTATTGTAAATAGTGCCGCAATGAACATATGTGTGCATGTGTCTTTATAATAGTTCAGTTTATAATCCTTTGGGTATATACCCAGTAATGGGATTCCTGGGTCAAACGGTATTTCTAGTTGTAAATCCTTGAGGAATCGCCACACTGTCTTCCACAGTGGTTGAACTATTTTACACTCCCACCAACAGTGTAAAAGCATTCCTATTTCTCCACATCTTCTTCAACATCTTGTCTCTAGATTTTTTAATGATCACCATTCTAACTGGCGTGAGACGGTATCTCAATGTGGTTTTGATTTGCATTTCTCTAATGACCAGTGATGATGAGCTTTTTTAATATGTTTCTTGGCCACATAAATGCCTTCTTTTGAAAAGTGTCTGTTCATATCTCTTGCCCACTTTTTGATGGTTTTTTTCTTGTATATTTGTTTTAGTTCTTTGTAGATTCTGGATATTAGCCCTTTTTCGGATGGGTAGATTGCAAAAACTTTTTCTCATTCTGTTCTTGGTTCACCTTAAGGATTGTTTCTTTTGCTATACAGAAGCTCTTAAGTTTAATTAGATCCCATTTGTCTATTTTGGCTTTTGTTGCCATTGCTTTTGATATTTTAGTCATGAAGTCCTTGCCTAGGCCTGTGTCCTGAATGGTATTGCCTAGGTTTTCTTCTAGGGCTTTTATGGTGTTAGGTCTTATGTTTAAGTCTTTAATCCATCTGGAGTTAATTTTAGTGTAAGGTGTCAGGAGGGAGTCCAGTTTCTGCTTTCTGCACATGGCTAGCCAGTTTTCCCAATACCATTTATTAAACAGGGAATCCTTTCCCCATTGCTTGTTTTTGTGAGGTTTGTCAAAGATCAGATGGTTGTAGATGTGTGGCCTTGCCTTCGAGGCCTCTGTTCTGTTCCATTGGTCTATATCTCTGTTTTGGTACCAGTACCATGCTGTTTTGATTACTGTAGCTTTGTAGTATAGTTTGAAGTCAGGTAGCATGATACCTCCAGCTTTGTTTTCTTTTGCTTAGGATTGTCTTGGCTATGCAGGCTCTTTTTTGGTTCCATATGAAGTTTAAGGTGGTTTTTTCCAGTTCTGTGAAGAAGGTTAATGGTAGTTTGATGAGGATAGCATTGAATCTATAGATTACTTTGGGCAGTATGGCCATTTTCATGATCTTGATTCTCCCTAATCATAAGCATGGAATGTTTTTCCATCTGTTTGTGTCCTCTCTTATTTCCTTGAGCAGTGGTTTGTAGTTCTCCTTGAAGAGGTGCTTTACATTATTTGTTAGTTGTATTCCTAGGTATTTTATTCTCTTTGCAGCAATTGCGAACAGGAGTTCGCTCATGATTTGGCTCTCTGTCTGTTATTGGTGTATAGGAATGCTTGTGATTTTTGCATATTGATTTTGTATCCTGAGACTTTGCTGAAGTTGTTTGTCATCTTAAGGAGATTTTGGCCTGAGACAATGTAGTCTTCTAAATATACAATCATGTCGTCTGCAAATAGAGTCAAATTGTCATGATTGTATATTTAGAAGACTCCTTCCTCTTTTCTGAATTGAATACCTTTATTTCTGTTTCTTGCCTGATTTCTCTGGCTAGAATTTCCAATACTTTGTTCAATAGGAATGGTAAAAGAGGGCACCCTTGTCTAGTGCCAGTTTTCAAAAGGAATGCGTCCAGTTTTTGCCCATTCAGTATGATATTGTCTGTGAGTTTGTCATAAATAGCTTTTATTATTTTGAGATATGTTCCATCGATACCTAGTTTATTAAGAGTTTTTAGCATAAAGCACTGTTGAATTTTGTTGAAGGCCTTCTCTGCATCTGTTGAGATAATCATGTGGTTTTTGTCTTTGGTTCTGTTTCTGTGATAGATTACGTTTATAGATTTGCATATGTTGAACCAGCCTTGCATCCCTGGGATGAAGCCTACTTGATTGTGGTTGATAAGCTTTTTGATGTGCTGTTGCAATCGGTTTGCCAGTATTTTATTGAAGATTTTTGCATCAATGTTTATCATAGATATTGGCCTGAAATTTTCTTTTTTAGTTGTATCTCTGCCAGGTTTTGGTATCAGGATGGTGTTGATCTCATAAAATGAGTTAAGGAGTATTCCCTCTTTTTTATGGTTTGGAATAATTTCAGAAGGAATGGTACCAGCTCTTCTTTGTAGATCTAGTAGAATTTGGCTGTGAACCCATCTGGACGTGGATTCAATTATATTTCTAATAGATTGTTTTTATTTTCTTTCCTAGGTACCTCTTCAGAAGACTATCAGAAGTGCCATAGAAAAACGTAAGAACTAAAAAATTTTAAATTGTATTGAACTTTTGAAACCCTATTTTATAATAGTTTTATAGCAAGTATGATTGTCCACAAACTCAGGTGTTCATTTATTATTTGTTGACTACTCACCATGTGTCAGACCTGTTGTAATTGCTAGAGATATAGTAGCGAACAAAATTGATTTAAAAATCTCTTCCCTCAGCAATGATAGCAAAAAGGAAAAGTTGAAGAAAAATTCAAGAGGGATAGTCAATAATTTTTAATGACAAATTGGAAGAAGTTAAAATTCAAGTTGGCCCCCAGCCCTCTGACTTAGGTAATTGCATGAAAACTTATTTACTAGGTGAGGGAACACAAATGAAAAAGCAAGAGTGGGTTGGGGTGACACTGAGGTACTGAAAGTACTTTAAAATGGAGATGTCCAGCAAGGAGTTGGATGGCCCAGCCTGGAGAGCAAGGGAAAAGTCCTGGGCTGAAGGCATAGTTGTCTTCTTCGGAAAGTTTGTAGAGTGAGAAGAGAGTAGCGTTAGTATAATAGCCTCTTTATAAATATGCCACATCTAAATGGTGAGAAATTTCTGAAGAAAAGAAAATCTGTTGTTTTTGGGTGAATTGTCTTTTAGTAAATTACAATGAAAATTGTAAATATAAATGACTAAGGTCACGTAAAAAATTCCTTTGACAATTTATAATGTAGTATATTCTTTTTTTTATTGCATTTTAGGTTTTGGGGTACATGTGAAGAACATGCAAGATTGTTGCATAGGTACACACGTGGCAGTGTGATTTGCTGCCTTCCTCCCCATCACCTATATCTGGCATTTCTCCCCATGCTATCTCTCCCCAACTCCCCACCCCCTGCTGAACCTCCCCTATTTACCCCCAACAAACTGCAGTGTGTAGTGCTCCCCTCCCTGTGTCCATGTGTTCTCACTGTTAAACATCCACCTATGAGTGAGAACATGTGGTGTTTGATTTTCTGCTCTTGTGTCAGTTTGCTGAGAATGATGGTTTCCAGGTTCATCCATGTCCCTACAAAGGACATGAACTCATCGTTTTTGATGGCTGCATAACAGTCCATGGTGTGTATGTGCCAAATTTTCCCTGTCCGGTCTATCATCGATGGGCATTTGGGTTGGTTCCAGGTCTTTGCTATTGTAAGCTGTGCTGCAATGAACATTCGTGTGCATGTGTCCTTATAGTAGAATGATTTATAACCCTTTGGATATATACCCAGTAATGGGATTGCTGGGTCAAATGGAATTTCTATTTCTAGGTCCTTGAGGAATCGCCACACTGTCTTCCACAATGGTTGAACTAATTTACACTCCCACCAACAGTGTAAAAGTGTTCCTATTTCTCCACATCCTCTCCAGCATCTGTTGTCTCCAGATTTTTTAATGATCATCATTCTAACTGGTGTGAGATGGTATCTCGATGTAGTTTTGATTTGCATGTCTCTAATGACCAGTGATGATGAGCATTTTTTCATATGTTTGTTGGCCTCATGTATGTCTTCTTTTGTAAAGTGTCTGTTCATATCCTTTGCCCACTTTTGAATGGGTTTGTTTGTTTTTTTCATGTAAATCTGTTTTAGCTCTTTGTAAATTCTGGATATCAGCACTTTGTCACATGCGTAAACTGTAAAAATTTTTTCCCATTCCATTGGTTGCCGATTCACTCTAATGACTGTTTCTTTTGCCGTGCAGAAGCTGTGGAGTTTGACTAGGTCCCATTTGTCTGTTTTGGCTTTTGTTGCCAATGCTTTTGGTGTTTTGGTCATGAAGTCCTTGCCTACGCCTATGTCCTGAATGGTTTTGCCTAGATTTTCTTCTAGGGTTTTTATGGTGTTAGGTCTTATGTTTAAGTCTTTAATCCATCTGTAGTTAATTTTAGTGTAAGGTGTCAGGAAGGAGTCCAGTTTCTGCTTTCTGCATATGGCTAGCCAGTTTTCCCAACACCATTTATTAAACAGGGAATCCTTTCCCCATTGCTTGTTTTTGTGAGGTTTGTCAAAGATCAGATGGTTGTAGATATGTTGTGTTGCCTTCGAGGCCTCTGTTCTGTTCCATTGGTCTATATGTCTGTTTTGGTACCAGTACCATGCTGTTTTGATTACTGTAGCCTTGTAGTATAGTTTGAAGTCTGGTAGTGTGATGCCTCCCACTTTGTTCTTTTTGCTTAGAATTGACTTGGCTATGCAGGCTCTCTTTTGGTTCCATATGAAGTTTAAGATGGTTTTTTCCAGTTCTGTGAAGAAAGTCATTGGTAGCTTGATGGGGATAGTGTTGAATCTGTAAATTACTTTGGGTAGTATGGCCATTTTCATGATATTGATTCTTCCTAACCATGAACATGGAATGTTTCTCCATCTGTTTCTGTCCTGTCTTATTTTATCAGAGATGAGAATTGCAACTCCTGCTTTTTTTGTTGCTGTTGTTGTTCTCCACTTGCTTGGTAAATCTTCCTCCATCCCTTTATTTTGAGCCTTTGTGTATCCTTGCATGTGTGTTGGGTTTCCTGGATACAGCACACCAATGGGTTTTGGCTTTTTATCCAATTTGCCAGTCTGTGTCTTTTGATTGGGGCATTTAGCCCATTTACATTTAGGGTTCATATTGTTATGTGTGAATTTGATCCTGCCATTTTTTTTTTTTTTTTTTTGAGACGGAGTTTCACTCATGTTACCCAGGCTGGAGTGCAATGACGCGATCTCGGCTCACCGCAACCTCCGCCTCCTGGGTTCAGGCAATTCTCCTGCCTCAGCCTCCCGAGTAGCTGGGATTACAGGCACGCGCCACCATGCCCAGCTAATGTTTTCATATTTTTAGTAGAGACGGGGTTTCACCATGTTGACCAGGATGGTCTCGATCTCTTGACCTCGTGATCCACCCGCCTCGGCCTCCCAAAGTGCTGGGATTACAGGCTTGAGCCACCGCGCCCGGCCGTGATCCTGCCATTTTGATGCTAGCTGGCTGTTTTGCCCGTTAGTTGATGCAGATTCTTCTTTGTGTGATGCCCTTTACCATTTGGTATGTTTTTGGAGTGGCTGGTACTGGTTGTTCCTTTCTGTGTGTAGAGCCTCTTTCAGTAGCTCTTGTAAAGCAGACTGGGTAGTGATGAAATCTCGGAATACTTGCTTGTTTGCAAAGGATTTTATTTTTCCTTCACTTATGAAGGTTAGTTTAGCTGGATAGGAGATTCTGGGTTGAAAGTTCTTTAAGGATGTTGAATATTGGCCCCCACTCTTCTGGCTTGTAGGGTTTCTGCTGAGAGATCTGCTGTGAGTCTGATGGACTTCCCTTTGTGGGTAACACGACCTTTCTCTCTGGCTGCCCTTAGCATTTTCTCCTTCATTTCAACCCTGGGGAATCTGACAATTATGTGCCTTGGTGTTGCTCTTCTTGAGGAATATCTTTGTGGTGTTCTCTGTATTTCCGGACTTGAATATTGGCCTGCCTTTCTAGGTTGGGGAAGTTTTCCTAGGTGATATCCTGAAGAATATTTTCCAGCTTGGATTCATTCTCTTCCTCACATTCAGGTACACCTATCAAACGTAGATTAGGTCTTTTCACATAGTCCCACATTTCTTGGAGACTTTGTTCATTCCTTTTTACCCTTTTTTCTCTAATCTTGCCTTCTCGTTTTATTTCATTGAGTTGATCTTCAACCTCTGATATCCTTTCTTCTGTTTGGTCAATTCGGCTTTGAAACTTATGCATGCTTCGTGAAGTTCTCGTGTTGTGTTTTTCAGCTCCATCAATTCACTTATATTCCTCTCTAAGTTGTCTATTCTCGTTAGCATTTCGTGAAATCTTTTTTCAAGTTTATTAGGTTCTTTGCATTGGGTTAGAACATGTTATTTTAGCTCAAAGAAGTTTCTTGTTACCCTCCTTCTGAAGCCTGATTCATCACACTCGTTCTCCATCCAGCCTTGTTCCCTTGCTGGCGAGGAGTTGTGATCCCTTGTAGGATGTGAGGTGTTCTGGTTTTGGGTGTTTTCATCTTTTTTGCGCTTGTTTCTTCCCATCTTTGTGGATTTATCCACCCGTCATCTTTGTAGTTGCTGACTTTCAGTTTGGGTCTCTGAGTGGACATGCTGTTTGTTGATGTTGAAGTTATTTCTGTTTCTTAGTTTTCCTTCTAACAGTCTGGCCCCTTTACTGTAGGACTGCTAAGGTCCACTCCAGGCCCTGTGTTCCTGGGGATCACCTGCAGCAGCTGCAGAACAGTAAGAGTTACTACCAGTTTCTTCTTCTGCTACCTTTGTCCCAGAAGGTTACCTGCCAAATGTCAGTTTGAGCTTTCCTTTATGAGGTGACTCTTTGGATATATGGGGGTTGGGGAGCTTCTTGAGGAGACAGTCTGTCCTTTATAGGAGCTTAAGTGCTGTGCTGTGAGCTCCATTGTTCATTCAGAGCTGCTAGGCAGGTATGTTTAGGTCTGCTGCAGCAGAACTCATAAACCGCTTTTTGTTCCCAGGCGCTCTGTCCCAGGGAGTTAGGGCTTTATTTAGGAGTTTCCGTTGTGCTGCTGCCTTTTTTTCAGGCCTGCCCTGCCCAGCAAGGAGGCAGCCTAGTCACTGTCTGCCTGCAGTGGCTTTGCAGAGCTGTTGTGTGCTCCACCCAGCTGCCATGTGAACTTCCCTGCAGTCCTGTTTATATGGGTGTAGTTAGAACTGCCTTGGCAATGGTGGCCCACCTCTGTATTGGCAGACTCTCTCTGTAATGGCAGGTTGCCCTGGCAATGGCGGGTTGCCTTGGCAACAGTAGGCTGCCTCAGCAATGGTGGACTACCTCCGTAGTGGTGGAGTGCCTCGGTAATGGCGGACACCCCTCCCCCACAGAGCTGGATCGTCCAGGGTTCAGCTGTGTTTGCTGTGAAACTCTCAATCCAGAGAGTTTCTGCTTGCTGTTCTTTTGTGGGGGTGGGACCAGCCAAACCTGATCACCTGGCTCCCTGCCTCAGAGGCTTTTTTTTTTTTTTTTTTAGTTGAACAGTCAACTCTCTCCCAGGTGTTCCAGTTGCCTCTTGAAAAGTCGCCGGGATCTGTGTGATTTCCTGTGCAACAACTCACTGCACCGGCTTAAACAGTGGTGCTGAGATTTGTGGTGCTTATTTTGCCCAGGAATCTTGTGGCCTGTCTCCCTGTTCAGTCCCCTTTTTAATCAGATGAATGGGCGACTTCCCAGGGCTCCAATCGCCAGATAAAAGGGCACCCAGACCAGTGTATTTTGTACGGAGAACCACTGTGCTGGGGCTGGCAACACAGCCATGTGGGCAAAGCAGCTTGCGGGACCAAAACAGCCATGTCGGCCAAAACAGCCGAGCTGGCGAAAACAGCCGCGCCAGCCAAAACTGCCGTGCCGGCCAAAACAGCCGCGCTGGCGACCCGTGGGGCTCCTCCACCTGTGGGCAATGGGTAATAAAAACCCGTCTGGAAATGCGGCATCCAGTCACCCTCTGCGCTTTCACTGGGGGCTGCAATCCTGAGCTGTTCCTAAACGGCCATCTTGTAGGCGTCCAGTTTTTAACTTGTAATATATTCTTAAGAAGGATAGAGTCATATTTGGATAATAATGATACCAGATTTGAGTGCCTATTATCTACTAGACATCTGACATTCTCTTTATTTAAGTGGCACATTCACAAAGTAAAATCCCTACAACTTTGACATAGTAGCTAATGGAGAAAGGGAGTTTTATTTATATTGCTATAACTTCTTTGTAGATCCACTTTAATGACTGTTGCATATGTATTTACATGGAGCAAATGTAATAAAACACTTGATCATGTGTATCTGATACTATTTCCTGTCTCATCTAAATACTGACCTCTCTATGAAAAAGAAAACCTACCACTTACATGTCCAAAGAAAATATACCTTTGTTTTTAAAAAATAACATCTAAAGTTCTCATAAACCGTCATCACCCTTCTCCCCTATTTAGCTGAGAAATCATGAGTTAAACTTACTTATTGTCATCCATTTACTTCCAGTTAGAAGTCCTTTTTGGGTGAATGCTGAATCTTGGATTTTATCCCCATTCCATAGTCCAGAGAATGGCATATTGGTAGGTGATCATATCCCATTATCTGCCTGGGCAGTCTCAATATGTTCCTGTTTTTCTGGCCTAATTCTTAATAGAGCACCCTTGTACTCTCAGAAATTTTCCAGTTTGGACAAATAGGCACTCTAAACGTAGGTATATAGGAATAGGGGCAGACCTTATGTAGCCTTCTAGCAGGGCTTGGGGAAAGGGTAAGATTGGGACCTGAGGGTATCTGGAATCACATAAGCTGTCTCTGGATTTTTACTGATTGATGCTGCAAGGTTTCTAGACTGGTTCTATACCTGGCCTAGGTTCCACTGGAAAAAAAATCATTGACTCATAAACTTAAGGCCTTATTTAGGACCTGAGGTCCTCCATTGCTGATTTTACCTCACCTTGGTTTCTGTTGCTTTCCCAAACCCTTTGAATCTCATTGAAGTATCTGGACTATGACTAGGTAACTTTCTGCAATCTTTGTAGTAAAGTCACCTCACCCCAGCTCTCCTATTCAGGTGTTTTGGCTATAAATTTGGCCACTTTCTTCATTGAGTGTGGTGTATGGAACCTTGAGAACTTGTTCTCAATGCACAGGATGAAGAGAATCTCAGAAGGGCTAACTGAGGTCCCCTCTCTGCCTGAACATCCCCAGCTCTTCTTGTTGTTTCCACCCTGTGTGGATATCTCCTAGCGTTCTAAACATGAAATTTGGTACATACTCCCTATCCTTTTGGCTTTCTCTTCACCTCTTCTAATGTCATCTTCCCACTTATTACCCCTATCTTTATATTTTGGGCTTGAGGGAGAAAAGTCAGCTCCCACTGTCTGTTTGTTTTCTAAGTCTTTGTACCCCTTTTCTTTGTAATAATGCTCTAGACTGGAAGATGTAGAGGAGGGATCTATCTTTGTTAACTTCCTTAGCTTTTTCTGTATCATATGGTTGTCTTAGTCTGCTTTCTGTTGCTTATTACAAATACCTGAAACTGGGTAATTTACAAAGAAAAGGAATCTATCTATCTATCTTTCTTTCCTTCTTTTTTTTTCTTTCTTTCATTTCTTTATTTCTTTCCTTTCTCTTTCTTTTCTTTTTCTCTCTCTCCACCCCTCCTTCTATCTCTCTGCCTTCCTTCCATCCGTCTGTCCTTCTTCCTTTCTTTCCTATCTTACTTTATTTCTTTTTCTTTTTCTTTTCTTTTCTTTTCTTTTCTTTTTTTTTTTTTTTTTTTTTTAAGAAACAGAGTCTTACTCTGTTGCCCAGGCTAGAGTGCAGTGGCACCATCCTAGCTCACTGTATCCTCAAACTCCTGGGTTCAAGTGATCCTCCATCCTCAGCCTCCTGAGTAAATAGGACTATAGGCATGTGTCATCATGGCTGGCTAGGAATTTATTTCTTACAGTTACAAAGGCTAAGAATTCTAAAGTCAAAGGGCTGCAGTTAGTGGGGACCTTCTTGCTGGTGAGGACTCTGCAGAGTCCTGAGGTAGCAAAGGGGCTGAGCACAGTAGCTCAAGTCTTTTTCCTCTTGTAAAGCCCATCATATCATTCCCATGATAACATATTAATCCATTACTCCATTAATCCATGAATGATTTAATCCATTTATAAAGTCAGAGCCCTCATGATCCAGTTACCTCTTAAAGTCCCTGTCTCTCAATACTCCCACATTGGGAATTAAATTTCAACATGAATTTTGGAGAGAACGACCATTCAAACCATAGCAATGGCTAATAGTAGAACTCCATAGTTATGTTTTAAATTACATATGTTAATAGGAACTTGAGGAATGTAGCAGAATGTTAAATGTGGTTTTCATGGTGTCTTAGAGTTTGGACAATGATCTTATAGATGAAAACAAATAGTTGTCAAGTACCCCCATTCCTTATTTTGTGTAGAATGATCTATGTGGAGTTCGTAAAAGATAAGATCAAAATCCAATTCTACCAGCATTCACTCATTACTCATCTCCAAACTAAGAAAAGGCTAAGAAAACATGGAAAGGATGCAAAATCCAAGAATGCCTATTTCTTTGATAAGAGCTATTATTGGTGTCATATGGAGGGAGCAAGGAGACTTCCCCCTCACCTCAACACAAATGAGGAATCTCCAAGAGAACCATTTGAAAGCTTCAACATATGTCCCTGGGAGTTAGTTTCTGACTCATACCTGATAACTCTAAAGGCAAGAGAGTCTATTAGGTGCTTTGGAATGGCAGAATAAAGAGGAAGCTAGATATACTTTTAGAGTTTGACATGACAAAGATTTGTGCATAGTGCCTATAGGTCAAATATGGATTCCATAGAAGTGGAATAATTATGGATAATCTTGAAAGGGATTACGTCCAATATGACTTCCTGCAAAGGATGAAGTAACCTCACTCAAAAGTGGTTGGGTGTTCTGTCATCAAAGGCAGAAGCTGAGGAGATGATAAAAAGCAGCAAGTGAGAGAGCCCCAGTGATAGGTAAACCTCCAAAGAACTTGTCAGAATACTTCAAGTTTGAAAGAGTCTGCATTTGATTATCTTTCATACCCCAGAGATACCAATGGCACATAATTGTATCAGTCAAGATTGAGAAAGACCTTTCCTGTGCATTTCTACAACTCACTGTAATTCACTGCCAGAGGAACCAAAAGAGTACTTCCAAATAGGTAAGAGAAAAGAACAAGAAATAGAGGCAAAAGCAATGGTGGTTGCTCTTCCTACAGCATATTCTGAGTCTAAATCAAGCCCAAGCTGAGAAAAGGAAAAAATTTAAATTAGATAAGAAGAGTTTGGAGTTGTGATATTACACTGAACTTTGTGTTACCTAAAAATAACTGCTTATTATAAGAGAATGCCAGAAAGGCATTAGTAAAAAGAAATCTACCTGAAAGTTCATTCAGAGGCAAGAAAGTAGCATTTTGACAGGATGCGTTTAAAGGGAAATATGAAAGAATAAAATTATACCTGTTTACTGAGTTCAACTATTCAATTAATTGGTATAGGAATTTAGAAAATCCCCTTCTCACCTTTGGTTTCAACTGCATTTTCTTGCTAGGGACTCATAAATCCCATTTTTGTAGTCAAAGGCTGAGCTTTGATCCTTTGGTATTTATTCCTCTTGTGATAGCTAGTCCTTTCCTACACATTTGGATAGAATTGGAGGTGGTCTAATTTGTAGAAGTACCAAAAAAACCCAGGATATTAATTTCAAAAAAATATTTTACTGCCCTCTAGCCTGGGTAACAAAGCAAGACTCTCTTTCAATAATCATTATCATCATCATCAATCTTTCATGTATCTTAAAGTCTTTCCACAAGAATCTTAGGAAACAAGATAGCTATCCCTTTTACATAAATGAGGTAACCAAGACTCAAGACAGGCTAAGTAGCTTTCCAGAGGCCACTCAAGTATATGTAGTGGAACTGGGGTTTAAAGGAAGGTCTGTCTTATTCTAAACACTATGTCCTGTCCTCTATACATATTGCTTTACACCGATAAATGTACAAAATGTGTTATTGTCTTTTTTACTAAACTATTTGTTTATATAAATATGATAACATTTTCTAATCAACTGTATATTTTCCCACAGGATAATTAATCGCACACAAATATCTTTAAGTATTATTTGAGGATTTTTGAAAGTTACTGAAAGATTTAGAAAATACTACTGACTAGTTTGTTCTTGTTTTAGAGTGATGACAGTAGAAGATAAAAATATTTCTCCAAAAGCAAAGTGTGCTTCAAATTCAGAATCAGGTAATAAATAATGAAACTAATTATTTTCTGTAATAGTTGTACTACTTCTGTTAAATGATTCTGTATTTATTTTTGCTACATGCAACATGCGTTAACGAAGTTAGTAGCTCAGTGAACAGTACTTTTTAGCTTGATTGTATATAAGAAATGAAGATATGTGGGATTAGAAAGTGGGTCTTAGCTATCACCACAGCATCAATCATTTATTCATTTAATAAACATTTAGTGAACATAAACTCTGTACTAGACATTGTTATGTATACTAGTGGGAGGTGATACACTTTTCCTACCCTTGTAGATTTCAATTGTAGGAGAGGACAGTAAGTAAACAGATATATTGTGGTTATGCATAATGTTTGAAAAATGAAGGGATCAGCAAAGTGTCTTGCATTATTAACCCTTTCTTATGTAATTTACTATGAGAATAAATTTAGCAAGATGTTTACATCCTTATTAACCTCTGCTATATCTCAGATTTCTCTTTTCTGTATTTCTTGCATCAAGTTTTATAGCATCCATTTGAGAGTAAACTTGAAGAATTACTGATTTTGCTCTTGATGGTTGTAAATATTTGTATGAATATGTATGTGCAAAATCTTCATTTTAATAAATTATCTTAATGAACATTTATAAAATGCTGTACATTAAGTTAGGAAATATAGGTATAAGACGATTAATATGCTTTCTGTTCTAAGCAAAATTAGTCTAGTGATAAAAACTAAACTTGTAACAGCACAAAATCCTTGGAAGGAGTAACACCTTCTACCCTGGAGGGTTAGCATTAGAAGAAGGATTTGTTTTACAGATCAAAGAATAAGGGAATGTGTCAATAACAGATGAGTGATAATTAAAGGGAAAGTGGCAAGGGTACCAAAAACAACCATGATTTTACCTAGGTTTTTCCTAATAAAAAGTGTTCCTTTTGCTATGGAAAATATAGCAAGCTTTATAAAGCTTGGTGGTAGGGCAGAATAATGATTCTTGAATTCTGTATGTTTTTGTATTCTTACTTTTGTGTGGTAATTTTAAATTTAAAATTAAATAGTTCACTTCTTGCTCTAGAGATTTTTTTACACATTTCTTTTTAAAATTTTTTTATTTTTAATATTTGTGGAGACATAGATGGTATATATATTTATGGCTTACATGAGATATTTTAATACAGGCATGAAATGCATAATTATCACATCAGGGTAAGTGGGGTATCCATGCCCTCAAGCATTTATCCTTTGTGTTACAAATAATCCAGTATACTCTTTTAGTTATTTTTAAATGTACAATTAAATACCCATTAACTACCACCACCTTCCCTACAACGCAATCCTCCATTTATTCTAAATGTACTGAGAAATACATCTTAGATCATCTTAGAGCAGAGGAATGACATGATCAGATATATATTTTTTTAGTTTACATTTTATTTCATTTTAATACATTTAAATAGCTCCATAGGTCAGTAGCTACAACACTGGACATTACCATTTTAGGATATTCATAAATGTTGTAGTAAGATGTAAAATAATCTAAATATAATATCTGAGAAACCACTGTGTTTCACCTATTCTTTCTGCTTTATCCATTATTCCACAGGAGCAAGTGCTAAGCTAGAGAAACTCCAAGCTTCTAAGAGCCCTTGAGTTCTGTGTTTCTAGGTCCAATGAGTCTGTGGTCCTAAGGTTCTAAGATGTGTTACTTTTCTATGTTCCAAAGACTCAGATATATATTTTAGAATAATCATTTGAACTATTATGTGGAGAATAGACTAAGAAGGCAAGAGTGGAAGCCAGAAGACCTTATTAAACTATTATAGTGATCAGATAATAGTGTTTTGGACCAAGGTGTTAGCAGTGGTCTGGTTTGGATTACATTTTAAAGGCATATATACCAGGAATTTGTGATTAGGCTGGATATTAGGTAAGAGAGAAAAACAGAAGTCAAGGATGAGTATTATTGAGAAATCAGATGAATGATGATACCATTTACTGAGATAGGTGCACTATAGGGCTGAGCAAGTTGGGAGAACCATTAATAGAAATTTTTTTGGACATGTTAAATTTGATCTGTGAGCTCATACACATAATGTTGTGTGAAAGAACATAGATACAACATGTATATACTATATAATTTCATGTATATAAACTTCAAGAACAGGCAAGACTATTCAGGGTGACATGTCAAAACACTGGTAGTCTTTGGAAAGGAGATGCCAACAAGGAAAGAACACATAGAAAACTTCTCAGGTGCTGGAGATATTTTATATCTTGATCTGGGTGGTAGATACATGGATGAATACGTATATACCAAGATGTGACTATTACGTTTATGGTATACTTCAATAAAATATTTTAAAACTGAAAGGCTTATTAGCTTTCAAGTAGAGATGTTATGAAGACAGTTTATGATGAGGAGTCTGGAGTTTATGCCAGAGGCTGGGGCTATGGATACATATTTGGAATTAGCAAAGAGATGTTTTGAAACCTCAGGATTAAATGAAATAATGTAGGAGGTAAAAATAATTTTTAAAAAACATACAATAAATGGAAATAGGACACTCCAACATTAAAAGTAAGGAAAGGGAGAAATATTCAGCAAAGGAAACTGAGACCTAGTGGCTGGCGCTGAAGTAGGAAAACCAGGAAGAATGATGCCTCAGAAGCCAGGAGAGGAGAGTGTCTTAAGGAAAGAATAATCCCAGCTATGACAAAAGTTATCAAGATTATGAAATAAAATGGGGGTTGAGGACTAAGAATCATTACAGCCAAGACCTAACCTGGTTCTACTCTATTATACTCCAGCTTGGTTATCAGATGTGGTTTAGCAAACCAGAAACCTGAGGGTCAACTTTGACATTTCCTTTTTTATCATTTCTCAGGCTACTATCTAATCTATTTCCAAATCTTAGTATTTGTTTTGTCTCCTACAGAGCTCTGAAACCACCTGCTTCATCTTACCCTCAAAGATCCATATGGCAGGAGTGATTAGTCTCTAGTGTTGACAGATTTAGAAAATAAAGTTACAGAATGCTCAGTTAAATTTGAATTCCAATAAACAGCAAATAATTTTTAATGTAAGTATGTCCTAAATACTTGTGCTATTAAATGTGATATACTAAAATATTCGGTGTTTATCTGAAATTCACATTTAACTGGGCATAGTGTATTTTGTCTTCAACCTTATTGGCCTCTGTAGTGAGGCTGAGGAATACGTAAACAATACACAGATCATAAAAAGGACTTGGTAATGGTAAATTAAGGAGCTTGAGTTTAACTTAGGGCAGTGGAAAGCCTTTGAAGAGTTTTAAGCAAACAATATTTGTATTTTAGATATACAAGGATAATGGACTGCAGAGGGAGGTGAATTGAAATGCTATTGAAATCTAAAGAAAAATCTTTTGGTGCCTTAATTCAAGGTAGCGGTGTTAAAAATAACAAAAAGCTGGGCAGGGCATGGTGGCTCATGCCTGTAATCCCACTACTTTGGGAAGCCAAGGTGGGTGGATCATTTGAGGTTAGGAGTTCGAGACCAGCTTGGCCAACATGGTGAAATCCCATCTCTACTAAAAAATATATAAAAATTAGCTAGGCATGATGGTGCATGCCTGTAATCTCAGCTACTTGGGAGGCTGAGGCAGGAGAATCACTTGAACCCGGGAGGTGGAGGTTGCAGTGAGCCCAGATCATACTACTGCACTGTAGTCTGGGGAACAGAGCAAGACTTCATCTCAAAATAAATAAATAAATAGAAAAAGAAAAGCTGAATATGCAATTTTAAATCCATATGATAGGCAAAATTGGCACATAGCACTCAATAAATATTTGTTGCTTGGATTGAGTCCAGAGAGAGGAAAAGGGAAGACTCAAGACTGAAGAGGAGACATAAAAAGGAGCCAAGCTGGAAATGTTCCAGCCTGTTGTATTAAGGTCCAATGAGGTAGGACAGGAAAGGTTTCTGCTGATATTGGTGGGAGTGCAACTGGAGACTTTAGATTTGGAAGTAAATAGGGGGAGAGGAAATAAAGTTAGTATACGTGGACAGATCTTTGAAGAGTGTCTGTGGGAAAGAAGAGATATAGGGGCTATAGCAGGAGATGGATATGAGGTACAGGAAAAGTTTTTGAAGAGAGAGGCTTGAGTATGTTTAAAATGCTGATAGAAAAGTTGCAGTAAACAGGTACACTAAAAGCCAAGACTTCACTACTATAGAATTTTTCCATATAACCGAAACCCACTTGTACCACTAAAGTTTTTACATTTCAAAAAAAAAAAAAAAAGGAAAGAAAAAATTGCAGTGGAAATAGTTGGATAATGAATGAAGATTATAATCACAACTTTCCCTACTAACTGAAAAGAAAATATTTTATATGTATTTTTTTTGCGTCTGTGAAACCTGGAGCTCTTAAGATAAGGATGTTTTTATTATTCAACATACACAAATTTTTCTTGTTTAATTATTAACAAAGGTGCAGTCATTAAAATCAGGGGTTTTAAAAAATATTGTTTTGTTTTGTCAACTTTGAATTCTGTTGGTTTTTGGACTTACAGTTAATGACAGATGAAATAAGTAGAATACTAAACTATGTTTTTATTTATAGATAATGCAGCTTGTGAGATTTTGCTTGCTGAGAAAACTTGCCCTTCAACTCCTGAAAAAACAAAGAAAAAAGCAAGTATTTAAGCAGAATAACACATAAATCATAATGAATTTCATTAATAAAGAATATACTTTTAACTAACACTTTAAATTTACTTTTTTTGTTGTTAAGAAATGGGGTCTCATTCTGTCACCCAGGTTAGTGTTCAGTGCTGCAATCATAGCTCACTACAGCCTTGAACTTCTGGGCTTAAGCTTTTCTCCTGCTTCACTACTATAGAATTTTTCCATATAACCAAAACCTGCTTCAGCCTCCTGAGTAACTGGAACTACAGGCATGCATGCACTACCAGGCCCAGCTGATTAATTTTTTTTTTTTTTGTAGATATGAGGTCTCCCTTATTGCCCAGATTAGTCTCAAACTCCTGGCCTCAAGTGATCCTACCACCTCAGCCATCCAAAGCGCTGGGATTACAGGCATGAGCCACTGTGCCTAGCCTTAACTAACACCTTTAGAGGAATTCTTTTTCAGCTATTTAAGTTAGTAATTAAAAGCATTTTGGGAGTTTATCAAATAGATTATTTAATTTTATAAAAAAGAATGAAAATGTACAGTAGTCCTCCTTATCTGTGAGGGATACATCCCAAGACCCCCAGTGGTTGTGGATAGTACTGACCCTGTGTATACTGTATTTTTCTGATTTGATAACTGAGACAGTTACTGAGTAACTAATGATCCTGAAGCGGACTGGACTGAGGGGGATGGCACACAATTTCATCATGCCACTCATCATGCTACTCAGAATGGTGTGCAATTTAAAACTTACAAATTGTTTATTTCCAGAACTTTCCATTTTATATTTTGGACTGTGGTTGACACAGGTAACTGAAACTGTGGAAAACAAAACTGTGGATGGGTTAGGGGGACCAGTGTACTTTACATTTTTTCCAATTTCCCTTTGAATAATACTGAAGATTACTAGTGAATCATATGTTAGGCTTGGAATCTGGAGATTTTTTTTTTGAGACAGGGTCTTGCTCTGTCACCCAGGCTGGAGTACAGTGGTTCACTCACCACTCACTGCAGCCTTGACCTCCCCAGACTCAGATGATCCTCTTGCCTCAGCCTACTCATAGCTGGGACTACAGGCACACACTGCCACACATGGCTAATTTTCATATTTTTTGTAGAGGTAGGGTTTCATCATGTTGCTCAGGTTGGTCTTGAACTCCTAGGCTCAAGCAATCCATCCACCTCAACCTCCCAAAATGTGGGATCACAAGTATGAGCCATCAAGCCCAGCTAGAATCTGGAGGTTTTTTTGAGGAGGTTGTGGCAGGTATTTCCGGATCTAAAGCCTATACTCTTTCTACTACACTAGATCGTCACTGTAAGGAATTAGGGAACAAATTGAAAGGGAGCAAGAGTGTGAATAGGAAGACCCATTTGTAGGAAGTTACAAAGATTTTTGGTGAAAGATTGTGGTGGCTTTGACTGGAGTGTTTCATAGGAGAGATAAGAGATACGCGCGTATTCAAGATAATTTTGCCTGTAGAGTTGATAGATTGGATACAAATGATGAAGGAAAGAGAAATGTTAAGAACAGCATCTTTAATGGATAAAGATGCTGTTTAGTGTGACAGGAAAAAAGGAATTCTGAGGATGCATGAAGATGAAAATGTTGAGAAGGCCATTGGCTATAAATCTGGACGTCAGGGGAAGAGATGTACTGTATTATAGATACTTTTTTAAAGTCATAGAAAAGGGTGAAATCACCTAGGAAAGAATATCTATGGAGTAAGTAAGAGAAGTGGGCCCAGGTCAGTCCCTGGAAAACTCCATAGTCAGGTATAAAAGGAAGAGTGGCTGGAAAAGAGGAGAAAAATAAACAGAATATAGTATCATAGATATCAAGAGAGGAAATCATTTCACCCATAAAAGGAGGAATGAACAATGCTGCTTGAAGGTCCAATATTATAAAAAAAATTTTTTTTTTGTTTTTTGTGCCTATGTTATTTTGATTATTTATATTAAAAGTATTAATTATTATGAGTACATAATAGCTATATATATTTATGGGGTACATATGATGTTTTGATAAAGCCACACAATGCATAATAATTGAATTAGGGTAATTGGGATATCTAGCGTCTCAAAATTTAATGTTTCTTTGTGTTCAGAAGGAATTTAAAAGTCAATTGTAGGATTTCTACTTTCTAGTGCAGCAATGTAAGAATCTTAAGTTATCACTTTGTCCTAACAACAAGTGAAGAGCTGAATGAACTGAAAAGTCACTGGCTCTTCTTAGGTTCGTCAGAGAAGTAAGGTCATAGAGAAAACTGCTTCACCAAATATTAGATAGATAGACAGGAGGATACAGAGAATCACAACTTAGGAAAACAGAAACCCGTGAACAGAAACCTCCATGGGAACCATTGCCAGCATAGGATAACCTAAACAGTGTTTATGAATTGCTGGAGGCTCCATATAGACAAATCTGAGAGTCATAGGGGGTGTCCCTGCCACTTTTGTGAGTTTTATTTCCAGGAGCTCTACTACCAGATCTTCATAGTAAATGTTAGAGTAAAATTCCCTCATGCTTCTAGCAGTGGGAGCAGAAAGGAACTATTTGAAACAGAATGCTAGAACATTCTGGGTTTTTTTGTAACAAGGCCTGGCCTTGGAGAAAGTATTTTTCCAGAACCTAACCTGTTGAGGAATCTATGTGGCAGACAAACTGGTTCTAAAGTTTATATAGAGAGGAAAAAGATACAGAATAGCCAACTCAATATTGAAGGAGAAAAAGTCAAAAGACTGATACTACCTGTATTCAAGACTTACTGTAAAGCTACAATAATCAAGACAGTGTGAGTTTGGTAAAAGAACAAACAAACAGATTAATGGAACAGAATGGAGAGAAAACCCAGAAATAGACCCATATAAATATAATCAACTGATCTTTGACAAAGGAGCAAAGGCAATATAGTGGAGAAAAGTTGGTCTTTTCTGCAAATGGTGCTTGAGTAACTGGACCCCAAAATGCAAAAACATGAATCTAGACACAGACCTTATACCTTTCACAAGAATTAACTCAAAATGGGTCACAGACCTAAATGTAAAATGCAAAACTATAAAACTTCTAGAAGAGCCAGGCATGGTGGCTCATACCTGTAATCCTTGCACTTTGGGAGGCCAAAGCGGGCAAATTGCCTGAGCTCAGGAGTTTGAGAGCAGCCTCAGCAACATGGTGAAATCCTGTCTCTACTAAAATACAAAAGAAGTTAACCAGGCATGGTGTGTACACCTGTAGTTTCAGTTACTTGGGAGGCTGAGGCAGGAGAATTGCTTGAACCTGGGAGACCAAGGTTGCAGTGAGCCGAGATCACGCCACTGCAGTCCAGCCTGGGTGACAGAGCAAGACTCCATCTTTATGAAAAACAAACAAACTTCTGGAAGATAACATAGGAGAAAATCTAGGTGACCTTCAGTATGATGATGATTTTTTAGATAGAATACCAAAGGCCCAAATATAAAAGGAATAATTGGTAACCTGGACTTCATTAAAATAAAAATTAACACACTTCTGCTGTGTGAAGGACAATGTCAAGATAATGAGATAACAAGCTACAGATTGGGAGACAATATTTGCAAAAGACATAACTGATAAAATGTTGGGTATACAGTGGCTCATGGCTGTAATCCTAGCACTTTGGAAAAAAACACTTAAACTTCATATGAAACAAAAAAAGATCTTGCATAGCCAAGACAATCCTAAGCAAAAAAAAAAAAAAAAAAATGCTGGAGGCATCATGCAATTTGGCTTCAAACTATACTACAAAGGTACAGTAATCAAAACAGCATGGCACTGTCACCAAAACAGAGATATAGACCCATGGAGCACAACAGAGGCCTCAGAAATAACACCACAGATCTACAACCATCTGATCTTTGGCAAACCGTACAAAAACAAACAATGGGGAAAGGACTTCCTGTTTAATAAATGGTATTGGGAAAACTGGCTAGCCATGTGCAGAAAGCTGAAACTGGATCCCTTCCTTAAAGCTTATACAAAAATTAACTCCAGATGGATTAAACATTTAAACGTAAGACCTAACACCATAAACCCTAGAAGAAAACCTAGGCATAGGCATTCAGGACATAGGCATAGGCAAGGGCTTCATCACTAAAACACCAAAAGCAATGGCAACAAAAGCCAAAATAGACAAATGGGATCTAATTAAACTTAAGTGCTTCTGCACAGCAAACGAAACTATCATTAGAGGAAACCGGCAACCAACAGAATGGGAAAAAAAATTTGCAATCTACCCATCTGACAAAGGGCTAATATCCAGAATCTACAAAGAACTAAAACAAATATACAAGAAGAAAACAACCCCATTGAAAAGTGGGCTAAGGATATGAACAGACACTTTTCAAAACAAGATATTTATGCAACAAACAAACTTGAAAAAAGCTAATTATCACTGGTCATTAGAGAAATGCAAATCAAAACCACATTGAGATACCATCTCACGCCAGTTAGAACGGCAATCATTAAAAAGTCAGGAGACAACAGATGCTGGATAGGATGTGGAGAGATAGGCACGCTTTTACACTGCTGGTGGGAGTGTGAATTAGTTCAACCATTGTGGAAGGCAGTGTGGTGATTCCTCAAGGATCTGGAAGTAGAAATACCATTTGGCCCAGCAATCCCATTACTGGGTATATACCCAAAAGATTTTAAACCGATCTATTATAAAGACACATGTACACATATGTTCATTGCGGCACTATTTACAATAGCAAAGACTTGGACTCAATCCAAATGCCCATCAAAGATAGACTGGATAAAGAAAATATGGCACATATACTCCACAGAATACTATGCAGCCATAAAAAAGGATGAGTTCATGTCTTTTGCAGGGACATGGATGAAGCTGGAAACCATCATTCTCAGCAAACTGACACAAGAACAGAAAACCAAACACCACATGTTCTCACTCATAAGTGGGTGTTGAGCAATGAGAACACATGGATACAGGGCAGGGAACATCACACACCAGGGCCTGTC